ATATGTCCAAGCAATTTGCTTAAACAGCCACATTTTATGATCTAATAGAGAATAAGATAGAAGAACTCTTCCTTATGTAAGAGAAATGAGAGAAGGCAAAAGATATTTAAGTCCTTCACAAATTGAGAAAGGCAGCCACCTTGTCAAGAGTAAGGGCCAAATTCTGAAGCCTTTGGTTGTAGACACCCTCAGCCTGTCTCATTTATAAAGAGAAAGGACAAACATCAGCAAGCTAACCACAAGCATACCCTCAGAAATTTGCAACTGGGCAAACCCAAGCAAAAACAGCCTGCTCAATCAAATACAAAAGCATGTTCGAGAGAGAGAGATTGCATTCAGCAACATTCACCTGAACCTCAGCATCACTCTTCTCAACCTCTAGGCATATATCTGCGAAGTATTTCTTCTTCTCTTCCAAATTATGCCTTAGAATCTCCTCAGGAAGTTTGGTTCTTTCATAATTGATAAATCTCACCTTCATCCGGACAAAGTGTATCAGGAAAGAACTGAGAAATGATTGAATTCCACTAGTAAAAGAGTGCATAGAGCAAAGATATGTACCAGACGAGCTGAATATGCAATCAGCCATTCAGGCAACCCGCCAAGCAAACAACTTCCTAACCCGGCCCTACCCAAGTCAATATAATCCTCCTCAGATAATGAGTTTAATTCGCAAGCCTCCAGCATCAACTGATACCGATCTAGTATTCTGTGGCATTCCTTCAGTACCTGGTGGACATTACAACGTAGTGGATAAAAACCACAATCAATTGGCTGCATTAAACAACTGCAGAAACATTAAATAAACAGCTACAGTCAAGGAAGATGCTGACAAGGCAAGGATTTCAAATTATGCTTGCAAAGTCCACCTCCCAATAATGTAACTTGTCAATGTAAATTTCTTTCTTAAATCAGCCACTGGCAAAACCAACTAAATTTTGAGTGTGGAAAAATGTATTCAAGTCTCTACCTTCTGAAAAGCCCCTTCACCAGTCAGATTCAGATAACTCCCACGGCAAACTTGGCTGCCACATAAACATACAGAAGCTTCATATTCTTCCTTGCTCTGCAGAATAATTAAGAATATTAGCATCAAAAACCTATCACTATCACAATAATAAAGGAATTCTATAATACACCCTTCTAAGGTTTTATGGAGGTTGGCAAGCTGAAGACACTCACCTCCGTAACAGAATTGTAATCAAAAGTGATCTCTTCACCATATCCAATGGGACGTACACTATAGATTCCAATCTGATACTGACCATCAACAGCAGTTACTCTGCTCCCACAAAAAAGTAGGTAAGAACAGTTTTAAAACATCCGAGACTTTGCCATCCAATAAACTATTCAGTCACGTAAAAAAAATTAATATAATCAGATGACAGAAGATTTGGGCAATAATATAACAAAGTCTGACCAGTAGATGGCCTCAACTTTAAAAACCAGAGTTCTTACTTCTGAGCATGAATTTTATTTTTCCAAATACAATTCAACTAAATCAGTCCTAATTCTAAACAGAATTCTTTTCCACTGTCTAGCTCTTTTGAAATCATATCTTCCTCTCATTCCTTGGAAACCACGTTTGTATTCAGAGTTGTGGGCCCACGTTCATGTCTGCCCAATCTGACTTCCAAAGCTACAAAATACGGATACATCAAGGATACGTCAACCTTGGCGTCTCCATATCGGATACTGTATCCAATACGTATCGGATTGCAACATATGTATCCGATAACAAAAAAATATGTAGACACTTTGCAGACATTTCCATATGTAGAGCAATACATAAAATTGTCAATTTTAATATTTACCCCCATGTTTCAAATTGATATAGAATGCAATACATCAACAAATATCTATGAGGTTGAAGACACGACAGTGTTTTTTAAGAAACTATCCCCTATCACATGTCAAAAGAATACAAGTGAGTTAGTTACACTATAGTCTTAGCAACAAATACTTCTCAGCAACCAAGTAGTTAAATGTACATTTTGATTCCTTTTATTAGTCATGTTTATTTTATGGATATAACATAATGAGACGATACATACCTTGTTGAAAGTAAAAATTGTGAATTTTGCTTATTATTGTTAAATAATTACTAAAAATTATAACCATCAAGTTGTTAACTAATAGTAAAAATATAAAATATAAATATATTTTGTTATAGACATATCCGTATCCTTTTTTTAAAAGTTTTTCCGTATCATAGTATTTATAATGTATGATACTCATATTACGTATCCGTATCTATATCCATACTTCCTAGCTTCCAAGTGTTGCCTCCAACTTATCACAACACAGGTTCTCAGTTTGGTTCACCCAGATTTTTTGTTCAAAAGTTCAAGCAATAGACATATTATTCTTCAACAGGCTTCTTTCCTCAAATTAAGTAGAAAAATGCATCCAATTAAGACCGTGAACATGCAGGAAAATGTTTCACGATATTGTGTACTAAATCCTCTTTTACCTACCATTTCTTTTACATAGTGATAAGTTATTCAAAATGGAAGTCCAATACTCCAAATGCTAATATATTATCATTTTCTCAACTGCATGGGAAGTAATCAGATCAACAATTCAATCCACACAGAAAGGACATGGGTATAAACTATCCATCATAAAGCCATAAAGCTTACTTCGCTTCACAATTAGGTCTACACGAGTGACAAATTCGGCTGGCATAGTTTGCCTTGTGCATTGCATCAACAACTACTAAGTCATACCCATCAGCATCACCCTGCCATAAAAAGAAGAAAGAACACATGATCAGATGAAAATGTTCAAAGCAGCAGAAGAAACCAATAGGTATTACGAAGTCTAATCCAGATATTCAAACTATAAATACCTTTGGCCTCTCAAGATAAATGTTGTAGAACTCTGGCGCAGGATCTTTATTATTCTTTTGCAAGGAACGAATACCATCTTGCTTCTCAAACCATTTCCAAGCAGGATAAACCTGTAATTACCAAGTGAAAATTCATGAAAGGTTCTAGGATCACATATCTTTTTAAGAAGCAATAAACTCAAGTAAGCAGCAGTAAAATGAGCTGGCTATGTGGATTTATTCTATTTATTTGATTTGCATTTGTTGGACTTAAAAATTTGTTAATTTGCTCTATTGAAGGTGAGTTTCGGGACATGTGATGGTAGAGAATCATGCATATTTGGCATCATATTTATGCCGTTGACGTCCTGGGTGACCATGAATGGTGTTATTGCTTTTTGGGGTTTCTCTAGGCATCATTTTACCTACAGCTTCTCTTGGGTTAAGACATTCGACAGAGTAAATTTTTCCCTTTGTTTCAATCGATTCATTTGTTGCTGCACTTTTTTTTCTTTTTGAACAGACGATGCACTTTGTCTAAAACAGAAGAGGAATAGTAAAAGGAAGGGCCAATTTACATTGTGTGGCAAGAGAATTCTAAGGTTGTAAGTGAATAATGAAAGTCTGTGGTTGTGAAGATGCATTACAAAAAGTAGTTTTACCCCTATTGCCTTCCTGCATCTCATGTTCTCTAGATGCAAAGGGGAATGGTGATTTCGTTGGATTGGCTTTGTGAATTTTGTAATCATGAGTTTATGGGTTTTGAATTGGATCTTGGAATATAATTGTTCTGTTGGATGAGGACCATAAGGTAGGAATGAGTTTTGGATCCTGTTTTCAAAAGAGGCTGTCAAAATTTTTGAAAAGTAGTAGGTTAATATTTTTACACGGTGTCTTCAGACATGAACATTTTTTAGAAAATAAATTAAATTCATGTTTTTCAATATAAAATTCCCATATGGCATTTAACGAAAAAAAAGCATATTTTTTACAATTTTTAAAATTCTATCGCCTTAGTTTATGTCTTTGACAATTTTTTTTCTTATTGTGATTTTATTTTATTTTATAAAGTGGCTTCAGGCACGGGTTCATCTCTAGTATCTAATATTACAGCTAGGAAGTTGAATTCTCAACTTATAAAAACACATCGGTCAAGAGTTATTTAATTTTCATCTCCTTTAATCCAATAGTACAAAATCCATCCCAAGAATTTGTTTTTGATGAAAAACATCATCTTTTCTGTCCAACTCTCAATGCCACACAACTCAACCAACACACTTCCCAATACCAAACAACCCCACTAATCCATACCTATCCGTATTTTCTCTTTCCCGTACTTCTCCCTTATTTTCTCTCAGTTTACTTTAATTTTAAATTGTGTAATAAAAAAAAATACTATTTAAAATATAAATATTGTATAATCAATGTTCGATTTTTCGTATTGCAAAGTGTCTTTAAACACGGAGTTATTATTAGTATATATATATGAGACATGTCATCCTTACCTCTCCCAAAAACTCCACAACAAAATCATCCTCGCCAAAACCACGTTCTTTGTTGCAAACAACACCAAGCCCCTGATCAACAACAACCGGAAATTACGGAAGGACGGAATCAGCATATAGGTGAAACACCAACAAGAAGAACAAAAATTTTCCACTCATGCATCTAAAAGTTGGTGCAGCATACCTTTCTGTAAGCAACATAATTGTCCTCATGACGATTATCAATAGCCTTCAGGATAAACTGACATAATTTCACAGTTCGCCGATCATGGTCTTCCTCAGCAGTTGCTAGGATCTCCTCAACAACAGGCCTTAAATGATACTTCATAGGCGTGTTTCCTATGCCTGTAAAGTTTCTGACTTGCTTATTCAGAGTTCGAAGGAAAACGTCTTCAATAAACACATGCTTATCCAGGAGAGACCAATCTGATTCCTCCGGCATGGAATCAAGAAGAAGATTATGGGTATATGGATCTATGCCATAAACTTCTTGTTCTATCACCTCATCTCCAAGCTGTTTTCTAGGTTTGTAGGCCTTCACTTCAGGTATTTCCATATCAGACTCCTCAGTACCATTTTTCTGTGCATTGAGCTTCTCAATGTAGTCCTCAGGTAAAGAAACTTGCATCTTTCTTTGCACTTCCTCCTCGTCTGCGACAATAACATAGTGGTCAATCACTTCATACTTCCTGGTAACAGGTGGAACAAGGCTTGATTTTGTCATGCGAGCACCCCATTCACGCTCATCAGCCAGAGAATCTAACCCATCATCTACAGTAATGTAAGCATTTCCTCTAAAGTCATCTAATCCACCTTCTGACCGTAAATCCAGGTCACTCTCTGTATCTGAAGCAGTACTCTCACTATCAGTCACAGTATCTTCAGAAGACCTGTCAAGATCATCAGATGTTTCACTTCCCGAGTCCATAGATTTTTTATTCAATTTGGATAAACGCCTCTTGATTTCTCGATCAGATGTATATTCTCCATGATCAAAACCACCATTAACAAAAGAGGAACCATTACTCCTGTTCACATATTTTTTTTCACTCCCTTTCCCAAGATTTTTCTTATACTTTAGGGAAGCAGAGGCAAACCCTGGAGGTGAGTCATCTTTCCAAGTCTTCATCATCTCATCTCTTTGGTAAGACGACTTACAGCAATCCTCCAAACTTGTGGCAAGACGAATGAACAATTTAATGATGTGATTCATGTTTCTGTTATCACCCAGGTTTTTCGCCCTGAATCCACAAAATATATACAATAATTAACCAAAGCAGCACATTGCCATAAGGCCGAAATTTACAATATGTATGTAATGGATGAAGGAATAGAGAACCTACACATACAGAGGTGCCATACTAGATTACATGCAAAGTATCATATCATATATAAAAGTAAAAGGTTAGTTAACTTGCAAAGCTCCCTGCAACGGTATCCATATCTCCTAACTTTGTGCACAAATGTCAATAGACTCAATACAACATAGTCAACCCCTCCTGAAGATATATATCATTACATATGCAACAAACAAAGAAATTACAAAGATAAAAAAAAATGTGCTTTGAGTTTTTACACAGCCATTTCAATGTTCTAAGTGGCACCCCTTACAGTTCACCACAATTAAATCAAAACATCAGAGCTTTTACCCCATTTTCGACTGAAGCTCTGTGGTATTAATTGCATGAACAAAGGAAACAGTAAAATAGAAGAGACTTACTTTATTGCATCCCGGCACATTGTAATAATATCGCCTTTGACAGAACTCAAGCCACGACCAGCATAATAACCATTCTTCATTTTTTCCTCAATTTCTGCAACCTGATGAACCAAGTGCAAAAAAAGGAAATAAAAATATTCAGAACCATGGAACAAAGGAAACCTCTAGAAAAAAGCGGAAACAGGAAAAGGTGTACTTTTGGAACAAAGAAATCAAAGGTGTTCTTCTTCAAGATGTCCTTCAAACTTGCGGCAAGAAATTCCTCCATCTTCTTATACCCATTTCCAGCTTTCTTGATTGCCCATCGCCTCAAATGTGCATCCCTCGATAGGATGGATGAGGACTTTCTAGCACCAAATACTTTTGAACGTTTGTACAAGCTTCTTCGGAATAACTGATTTGAAGAATCTCGCTTATCCAAACTTTCCAAATAATCTCTCAGGCCACTGGAATCCTCCATTTGACTATCCAGACCGTTGTAAATTTTGGAAACTGATGCTATTTTCTCCGTTACGTGTTTAAGACTCCTGATTTTTGAATGTGAAGCCCGGGTCTTGATCCAGTTAATATTCGGAAATTTACCAGCCAAATCCTCAAACTGGGTGCAACCTCTAATATCTAGAGATGATAAGCAAGAGAACAACTGAATAATTTCTTCAAGGTTGCCAGAAGTAATGCTGGTGCAACCACGCAGATCCAAGGAAGTAACTTTCTCTTTGTTATATTCCTTCTGCAAGTAAATGTGCACATTACACTCCGTAGGAAGTGAGAAATTTAGGAAATCGTGCAGGCCCCCCCCTCCCCCAAAAGAAAAAAAAAAAAAAAGCTCTTTCTCTATTTTTCCCCCCTCTCCGTCTCTCCAACCCAAAAGAATAAAGGAAGAGATGCGACAAAGGAGGAAAAGAAAAGGACCTGAAAAAGCCAAAACGAATGTAAAACTTACCATTATGTTACAGATCATGGAGTCGGTGCAATTGTGCGCAATAGATGAAAAGTCAACCTGTCTGGACATATCCTTGTAAACATTGACCACAGATCTCCAGCGCTTACAAGTCAACCCAGCATGAACAAGGGATTTCATATCAGATCTAAGGAAATGGAGCACTCGTGCCAGCACACGGCCATCCAATAGACCCCAGTCCCCTGTCTCAATTCCAGAATCTGCATTGTTGTCTTGGCAGAAAGTAGCATCGCCATACAGATCATCAAACTGGTATTCATCCTTCTGAACTGTTGATAGATCTTCCATTTCATACTCTTCCTCACTTCCATCAACCAGCAGCCTCGCTCTTTTGCCAGAACGATATTGATCTGTACCCCACAATAATGGATCAGCCGTTGTATTTGATAAAAAAAAATGGCCTCAAATGAGGTTCACATCGAAATTGCCAGAGGAAAAGAAATGCATATGCATGGATTGCAAGCATAACAAGCCAATACCCAGATTAATCACCAAAAAGAAAATAAAACACTCAACAACATCATCAAATCTTCCAGAGACTAAGCCCTCGGATTTGCTGTCCATGCATGGCAGAAAAATCAGGCAGACCCACAATGCAAGCTCCTCAATCAGCTTGGAAAAAAATTGAAAATATAAAATATAAAAGGGGAAGATATGAATACATAAAAAAATGCTGAAATGCAAACATAAAACAAAAATTCCTATCAGAATCTATTATGTGATATGCAAGATGGAGCAAAAGAAGATCTAGAAGAGTGGGGTATCAAAGGACTACAATCAAATTATAGAACTTAAAAACAGTTCGCCACACCTTGCAGTACAAAATGCTCTTAAAGGGATAAAACTCGATATTTAGCATTAAGAAAATCCCATGCTTAGAAGCTACACTCATCCTTCTAGCATACACCAAAGATAGGAGATGATGACAATTAAGGAAGGATGTATCATACATCGTCGCAGAACAAGAATTGGTCTCTGCAAAACTTAAAGCCAGAACTCTTATAAAAATATCAGGACTTGGCACATACCTGATTTCTGGAATTTATTATTGACAGCTTGATTATACAAAAACTTTTCAATCTCTTTCTTCGGCTGCCTTGCATTGATCCATGGATCTAAGACCTCATTTATTGCTGCAGCAAACTCACGACTCTTGTACGACTTCATGACCAATTCATGAAGCTTCCCTCGAGTATAACCAATAAATTGAGGATGCAAGCTGTTGAATGAACTTAGAATTGCGCTGCTTGGTGTTGATTCAAAATGAGAAGCTCCAGAACTATCATTAGATATTGCATTTTCTTCTTGTGGGATCTTTCCAGAAGTTTCAGAAGCCTCTGCAACAGAAGTAACTGGAACCCAAACTTTATCAATTTTTCTGAAAACACTACTCTGCTTCTGGATGATACCTTGATCTGCCAAGACTTGCAGCTCTGAAAATGATAAAGGCCCTCGCTCATGACCAGCACCATCAAGGTAGTACCAATGACCAAAATGTAAATGTAAGTCATCTGCTGTGCAAAGACGGTCTTTTGGGATACTAATGGATGCCGTGCTCGAGTCTTGTTCATTCATGTTTTTTGAGTGAGAAACACCTTCTTCTGATGATCTCATTGTATCACTGGCTGCAGAGTATGGCCGACTGGATCTTGAAGAGTATCTATCCTTTCCTCTAACTTTCATGCGGGGTTCGGACACAAAAGAACCATGGTCCTTGACCACACATGCGTTTATCCTGATCACTGGAAGCATAGCTCCTTTCAACCCCCTTACAACAACAGGTTTAGTCTGAATTGATCTGTTTGCACCATTACCATCATTCAATTCATCTGGCAAGGTAAAAGCCCAAGATGGGAGATCAAGCCTTCTGCTGTGAGAAGGATTGTATAATTCATCTTTTCGATGCCACCGAGGGTCTTCATAGCCAGACTTTGGCATCTGGCACAGAGAGTACCCATCATTGAGAACAAGTTTCCTTCTGCAAGGTCTATCATCAGCAATTTCATCATTTATCTTCCAATCCCCACCCTTGCATGACCACCGACCAGAGAACCAGTCACTAGTGTCAGTGGAGGGAAAGACAATATCCTTGTCGGAAGGTCCCAGTGCACTTATCCGGGATTCTGCAGGTTCTGTCAATGCAAAATCAGGGTAACTGGATGAGCCTTCACTTGCCCTTTGATTATTATGTTCCCCTGTAAGAGATTGGTACCAAGTGAAGCCTACGCATGCACCAAATAATTTCATATGTACTAATCATGAGATCCAAAGACACACATATGTATGTGGACATAGCATACTTGCATAGCTTCTAATATTTAGCAATACAGCTGTAAGCTCTAGCTTTGAAGCAGGAAAATCAAAACTAAAAAACAGTAAGAAAATGTTCTATTTGACTTTACAGCAATATGATGTTAAGCCATCTTGGAGCAAACATTTAGAGGTATCTTTGGCAAAACGAGCTCATGTGGGTTATTACTTTGCGACCAGGAACTCAGACAAACAGAAAATGAACATACTTTCAACAAGAACTTCAATGTATTGACCTGCAATTGAACGGCATAATGTGTCTGAGCAAGCAACAGCTAATTTCAACCTCGGCTGCCAATCCTTTTTATCAAATTCTAATTAAATACAACGTATATGGTCCTCTAAGAGAAGCAAGAGCTTCAAAGGGAAGAAAAACTTGGGAAGTCAATTCAATTGGTTGGCCAACAAGAGAGACTGAATTGAGCTGAACCAGCGAATGTTCCGCTGACTAGCTATCCATGCTTTGATAGAATATTTAGACCACAAAAAATAATGACATCCAGCCATCAAAGTATTTGTTCCATGAACATAAAGTTTCAAAATGGTTTGAAATATATGCTAAACTAAATAGCTACTATAACTTCTTGAAATCCTATGTGGGCCCATTCCCAACAATCAAATACAGGCTACGTTAAAGTTACTATAACCAATTAAGACATCTTCAAATCCTATGTTTGCACAAAATGTCGAGCTTCTAGGTCTGTCATTATACCTTGAGAAGTAGACAAAATAACAATCCCCATCCCGCCTAAAATTCTAGGAACTAGTTGATAATTAGAATAGCTTCGTAGACCAGGTCGACTGATCCGTTTTAAATTTAAAATATTTCTATAGGGCCCTTTCCATGAATGCCTCAGTGCCACCTATGTAACTGATGGAAGATAAAAACACAATACCATTGAGAACTAGTTATCAATACTATATATTAAGCAAGAGACCAGCCCTAATGTTCAGTTACCTCCACTAACTACATGGCGCGCCCCTCATATTTCCACTATGAAAAATATTGACCCCTGAATTTTGTGGGTTATAACACAAAAACCCCGACTAATTATATAGAAACCCCTTTCAAACATTTTGTGTGGTGTAACAGAAACCCTCACCTGAACTGAAATTGTCATCAATTTATCAAAAGATATTGCAAATGCACGTTGTGCAGTGTGCACCACAAGTAATAGAGTCCTCAATCCACATGATGTATGATGATCTCACATGACCTAGGTATTGTTTACAACGCAAAATGTCCTGATAGTAGTTCAGTCCTTTGTAAAGTATTTAACAAAAATTTAGCATGATCGAGCTTCTTTTTTCAGATAAGATATTATGGCCTAGTTGAATGGATTTTCTTTTGAGTATTAGTGTATAATATGGCAATCCTTTGCTTTCACACCCACTTTAATTTCTCTCGTAAGCTTAAAAAAATTATAGAGCACAAAAGTAAACAAATCCCCCCACCCAAAAAAAAAAAAAAAAAA